AGAGGAGAGAAGAGAAGAGCTCCACCCTTCTGAGCCAAAACCCAGATGAAAGCCTCCTACTGCCTCTTGACTGCTTCTCCAGGGGGTGGGGCCTCTTCCAGCGGGAGAGAAGGACCAAGTCCCTGCTCAACCCTGGGCGGCAGATCCCTGAAGTTCCCCTCTCTACAAGGGAGTTACAGGGGCCGATGGTTTTGAAAGCCTTGGGATGACCAGGCCTAACCCAGAAACACAGACAAAGCAATGAAGATGTAAATGTTTGGTCTTGAACAGCGTGACTGTTAATATTATTGGCTGTCTTGAAGAGATCCAGCACCTCATTCTAATGTCCTCCATTTTAAGTTTAATAGAGAGAGAGGTACTCTGGGGACAGGGGTCACAGGGCAGGCTCCAGGAGCCTTCAGAAGGAGGGTGTGGGCAGCTCCTGGGGAGAGGCAGCTGGAGGCATGTGCCCAGATGCAAGGGTCAAGTAAGGGCAAAGAGACTGAAGGGGTCCCAGAAGGCTGCACTTCCTTCCGCTCCCAGAGAGGAGGAAAACCGTTTCAACACGGAACAGCGGCCCAAGCCAGCTCTGTTCCCTGTCCTCTGCGGGGTTCAGGGTTTATACAAAGTCCTGTCAGCCCATGAGACAGAGGAGCTGTCTATCTACTCACAGACTACATGGCAGGAGGAGAAACCAGGGTCCCTGGACATGGAAAGGCTGCCTGCGAACTCCGCTGTCCTCTCTCCTGGTAACATGTGGGCTCCTGCCATAGAGGAGGGTTGTAGGGGTGAGCCCACAAATTGACCTCCCGTCTCAGAAGGTGTCACCCCCACTCTTACCTGCCCTTGCCTCCTCTGTGCCAACAGGTTAAAAGCCAGTCAGGCCCTCCATCTGTCTGCCCTATCTTCTGCTTCATTCTGACCTCCCTATTGGTGATACAGTGTCTCGTTGCAACCACACTACTCTCCTACACCATCGTGCAGGCTCCCCCCACTTCCTCCTAGCCGACCCCTTCAGACCTGCGATGCCTCAGCTGTTGGAACATCTTTATGGGGCCTGTCTGACACCTGCAGTCCTGTCACTTCATCTCTGTTCTCTGGAGGCCTTGGCCCCAGGCAGGAGCTCATTAGCTGGCTCCTTCTTCCCAGGGCACTAGCATTTGGGAATCAAGAATGGAGTCTCACTCACCCCACTAACCCCCAGTGTTCCACGCAGTGCTGAGTGACTGCATTAGAGAGTGACCATCTCCAAAGGATTTTCATATCTGACGTGTCCCTAGGGACTCTTCTCAGAGGCTCAGGGAGGTTAGGTGATTTGTTTGGAGTCACACAGCAAATCGAGAAAATGATACCGCTGGGACTCTGAAATGGCCTAGGCCCACGGCACCCCTGAGAGACTATAAACATCCCAGAGCTTGGGTTGTCTGAGCTCGCTTGGGGTGTCCAGCTGGTACAAGCTGAAGGCCATCAGTCCTGGGGCTCCTGAAGTTCAGGGTCATCAGGGAGAGAGAGAGAGAGAGAGAGAGAGAGAGAGAGAGAGAGAGAGAGAGAGGAACAAGAGGCCTCTAGGAACTAGATGCTAGTGCTCTCCTGCTCCTGCAATGGGGCTGCGGCTTGCTGAGGTGTGTTCCCTTTGGAGTGCTTACAACCATGTCCAGCAGAAGAAGGGCACAGAGATGTTGAGTTACCTATCTGCTCAAGGTCACACAGCTACACAATGGCAGAGCTTAAGAGCCATTTATTTCCTGAGGTCTTTGACACAGAGATCAAGCCAGAGCAAGTCTGCCCCCAGGACGGCTGCTGCTGGTGATTTAAAGGGTCCGACAGTGCTTCGTCTTGCTTCTGGGCGCCCTCATTTTAGAAAATGTAGAGATTTAAGAGCCTATAAAACTGAGCTATAACATGGCCTGACACGAGCCTTGCATGGGCTCTCTGTCCTGGGCTGCCCTCTGCTCAGGGGTCTTCATTTTGTTCCAGGTCACTCCAGGACACTTCCGCAGTCAATTAAAGCTGCTGGCCTCTGCTCATCCTCAGGGACCCATGGGGCTGTCATGTCCTTGTCAGGACCTCAGTGAGCTTCTGAGTGACAATGTGCAGTTGTCAGTGGGATTCCCCACATTCTTCAGGACTCCGATGAGGATGGCAATGGGGTTGGCTGCAGCAGCCAACGCAGGGACAATACTGGGCATCAGGGCACAGCTTGGTGACAAAATCCAGTGAGCACTGGCAAGCATCTGTACAGGGTCATGCTTTGGTGGCTGCAGTCAGATACTGGGGCCCACAGAGGCAGCTCATAGCTACCAGAAATACATTGCATAGGACTATACAGTCTGTCTGACACGCAGGCGACATGCACCCCAGGGGAGCTACGGATGCTGTCTATCACGATTGTAAACTTACTTAAAATGTGTGTGTAGTTTGTTTCTGTGACTCAGTTGTGCAGTTCTCTGGTGTGAACTCTGTGGGTCACAACATTGTGTTGTAATGTCATAAGTCTGCGTACCATTGCATGTGGCCCAAGCAGCATATGTTGGATGGGATGGACAGACAGAGGAGGGATGGTAACAAGGAAGGAGGAGGGAGGAGAAGGGCAGGGCTTATTGATTATGAAAATGACCCCAGTTCTTCTCCCTGGATCCACACCTTCCCAATGAGACTTTTAGGCTCCTTGGTTAGAGACTCGGTGTGCCTGGTTCCTCCATTCAGTCTAGGTGACACTTGTGACTTGCTTTGACTGATGGAACTCGGTGGAAGCAAGCGTTGCCAGTTCCCAGAAGAGGCAAGCCACCTCTTGGAATGTTCAGTCTGAGCTGACTTAGTTATGACAGGCATGTGGGCCAGCCATACTTCCAGCCTTCTCACAGCCATCAGATGCCATCCATGTATGTGAAAGGCTTGAGCTGGTCAGAGGCTATTACGAGCCCTGACAGGGTTGCTCACACTTGACTTAGGTCTACTCTAGGAGGAGTCAATCGCATAGGGACACAAATGTAGGCTGCTCTTAGAGTACTTAGCTAAGTGAGGCTAGTCAAGTCACAGCAGCTATCAGACACGAGGCAGAGACCCTGGGGGATCTACCCATGTATTCCAGGCCAGCAGAGCTGCATGCCCCAGAGTTTGAAGGCTCTTTTTGCCGTGCCCCTCTCTGTCCTATGCACCTTGCCATGCCTTTCCTAAAGGCTTCCATCCCATGTACAGACTCTGTCCAAGGCCACACTATGACATTGCAATCCCTTCTAATTAAGTTCAGCCAACACTCCCAGTGTCTCTCTGGGTGCAAGATATCATGGCAGTCTTGTGGCAGCAGGGAAAGGTGGCACGGCTCCTACATTCACCTGCAACGCTGATGAAAGCGACGTCTGCACGGTGCTTGACGATACGTTAAGAACGCTCATGTCTTTTGTGGATCTGCAAGTTAGGGCACAGCAGCTCAGACGCAGACGTGGCTACCACCGAGTGTTTGCCGTGTCCACAGACCATGATGGAAGCTACTGGAACACAGATGTCTGTCCTGGGGTTCGGGCTAGGATTCTCCTCTCACAAAAGGTTGTGGAGCTTGAGCCCACTGCCTTGGTGCCGGTTCCTGCTGGTGGACATCCAGCTCGGCATTGGTGTGAACACTGCGGGGTGGCGTCACGGCGCGCCTGCGCACGGGTTGCTAGTAACCTGGCTGGATCCAGGCCTTCCAGAGCTGTCTCCGTGTTCTGAGTCACAGACTGACAGGTTGGGGGCTAGTCTGGGAGGGTGCCGGTAGAGAATGGCTGGGGAGCAATCTGGGTCAATGGAGAGGATTCGGGATCTATAGTGAAGAGAGACAGAAGAGTGGTTTGCCAGCTCCGAGGAGCCCAGTGAGTTAGGGCCCAGCTTTCCCTCCGTCAATTGAGGAGAGTGAGGGGCAGACCTGCATTTCAGAACTGGGGTGGGGGCTGTCCTCCCACTTAAGAAGCTGTCTGGCTCTAAGCTTCACATTCTGTCAGGTTCTTCTGCTGCCCAGCGCCTCAGGCCAGGCCACAGCTTCCCTCACCTGGCCAGGGATTCCCAACCTCCTCCCTTTTGAGTTTCTGTGAAGAGCAACAGGTCATGACCATCTTTTAGAAGAGGAAAGCACAGCAGATGAAAGAATGCTGCTGCCGGTCCTGAAACCTGGTGGCTGCCGAGCACAGAGAGAGCATCGGTTCCCAGGGTATAGCTTCCTACAGGGCCACCAGCCTGGGTTACAAAAGCCTTGCCTGCAATTACCCAGCTTTGTGGCATCTATAGAAATGAGGCTTGTAATTTACAGTTCTGCTCTGAAGAGCATGGTCCCCCCCCCCTTTTTTGTCACGATCAGTGGCTCATCCTTCACAATTAAAGAGTGCAAAAGCCACTGGGTTAGCCAGAGGCAGCTGCAGAGGCGGGCAGGGAACAGGGAGCACGCCCAAAGGGTGGTCAGATTAGCAATGCCACGGGGTAGCATGGGGTGCAGGGTGACGGTGAGGATAACAGTGATCCTAGCTGGCATTTACTGAGTATGTACTGCTTGCCAGGGACTAAGCTTTACATATATCGCGCCCATTTAAACCTTTCAGCAACCCATTGTGGTAGATGCTCTTTTAATAGAAGAGCAATTAAATCACAGCGTTAATGTAACTCAGCCGAGGTCACACCGACAGGAAGTCAAGCTTGCGTTTGGACCTAGAACACCTGCTCTAAGTCTGAGCCTTTACTTCTTCATGTGCAGAGGGTCATCTGTCTATCTTTCTGTCATCTGCAGTTCCTCAGGGATGATGGCATCAAGGAACCGTTGTAGAGTGAGCAATCCCACTATCTCAATATATTGATTCCTCCTACTGAACGAGGCAGGAGAGGAAGATGGCTTCTGCCTGGCGGCATAAATTAACTCTGTGCCCTTGGGTTCTGTGTCACCAGGCCGCTTCCTTGCCATTCGGGTGCGGGCGGGCCTGCCGAGGATCTGTTGCTCTGGAGTGACTCACGAGCGAGCGGCACACGGCAAGCACCTGGACAACCGCTACCACGCGGAGCCTGGACAAATAGCAGCACAGAGCAGAGGGCAAGGCAATTTACAAGGAATCTTAGCAACCAGGCAACGGGCAGTAAACCAGAAAATCGCCAAGGAAACCCAGCAGAGCGTGAGCTAAGCGAATTGCAGGATCTGTGAACCAATTTACACCCATCAGAGGAGGGGCAGTTCGGAGAGACACAGAGGCTGTCACCTCCAGTACATTTGTTGAAGGGCAGCGAGGACATAGACTCTGTTGAGGGTCGGACAGGCAGGAGTCTCTGGAGCACTGGTGAGTGGACTTCAGGCCTGGTTTGGGGTACCTGTCGTTGCTACATGCGGTGGGAAAGCTGCAAAGACAGTGGTTCTTTCCCCTGATCCAGGGAATCAGCCAAAGAGAAATGGACCACTATGGACCAGACTGAATATTAGGAAGTAGGGAGCCTACTTGGAAGGCAGAGAGGCTCATGGGATACGGGAAGCAAGCAGACAGTGAGGCGCCGTCTCTGAAGGACGGCTTTGGCGCACATCTGCTCAGAAACACATTGTCCTCCTGGGACAGATCCACTTGTCCCCAGGACGTGCCGAGTAGTGAGAGCCCAAAGAAACAGGTCTCCAGGATATAAACATGTCTGCCTGGTTAAACCAGAGCTCTGCAAGGACATCTCACTTCCAAGCGCACCACAACCAGAGCACTGTCTCTGGTTCCATGCAGCCTGGGTGCTTGAGTCTCAGGGGGACAGAGCAGCACCAGCAGTGACAAAGCAAGATACAGAATAGTCCTAAGCAGTATCACCTCACGTTAAACCGTGCACTCATTTCCACAAGGAAGTCGAGTTACCACTCATGAGAAATTGACTGGTTAAGAGAAAAGCTTCTTCTAGATCCTGGTTTTAGAGGCTTCAGTCCATAGTTGGGTACACATTGCTTTTAGGCCTTTGGCGGGGTGCTGAGTGGCAATGCCATGGCATGTGTGACAGAGTAAACTACCCACCTCTTAGCCAGGAAGCAAAAGAAGAGGAAGGGCCTGGGGGTCCCACAGTTCCCCTGAAGACCCTCCCACCAATGACTTAAGAGTCCCCATCTACCTGGAGGTTCCGCCACTCACTAACAAAGCCCTCAGCACTTGGGTCTTTGGGGGCATTGACAGCAAATGGTAACAGGGACGAAGGTGCCGTCCCAGCAGTGTGACTCTTGCACGGGGGCCTCAGTTCTCTAGGGCCATATCCAACTCTGCCCCACTGGCTCGGTGTTGTAGTTTGAATGTGTAATCTTCTCCCCTGGCTCCCGGCTGGTGGTGCAGTTTGTGAAGGGTCACTAAGGGTGAGCCTGGAGGTTTTATAGCCTGGCCCTACCTGTTGACCATCTGCTTTCCTGACTGCTGATACAGTGTGGCAGCTGTATTAGACGCTTGTGAGGTACCTTACCTCACCCCCACAGTGCCATAAGGACTGTATCCCTTTGCAGTGTGGGCCCAAACAAAGTCTTCTTCTCTTAAACTGTTTCTTGTCAGGCATTTTGTCACAACAAGGAGAAAAGTAGCCAATGCACTTGGTGACTCCCACAGAAGTTGAGAAATCAGGCTCTGCCTGGGAGGAGCCAGACTTCCTATGAACTACACAGAGCGCCTAGGGGCTTCGCAACGGCTACCCCAACTACCCCATTTCTCCCCTGCCTTGTGTTCTCCAGCTCAGGGGCCGTAGAAGGGACCCGTGAGGCTTCACTCCTACTCAGTGGCACGCAGAGACGGAGGCTAGCTCTGCTGCCTGACAAGCACAGAGATGGGGAAGACATCCAGCTGGAACTGGAATCACTCACTAACCTAGTTGGTGGCCAGAGTGTGGACATCATGGAAAGGGGCAGCCTGGAGTGAGCTGTGGAGTTGAACGAGCTGTGCTCGAGTTCCCCTCCAACGTGGTGGTGAGACCTGGTAAAACCTTTGAGTGTGCCCGTCAGTGCCCTGTGTGTATGGCATAGATAGTCACAGCACCTACTATGTAATTCCGGGGATTCCCTTCAGTAACATGTGTGGGCACTTAATGTGATGTGGGGCCTCGTATGCTGTTAGCCCATGCTCAGTAAGTAGCGGCTAATTTTAGCATCACAAACCACAGTTCAGGAGTAAGAGGGTATCCTTTCTGTTGAAAGTCTACTTCTGGGGGACTGTGCTTGAGTTGGGGTCTTTGTTATCTTTTTCTGCTGTAATAAAACACTCTGAGGGAAAAAAAACAACTTAAGGAAGAAAGAAATACTTTTTTTTTTTTTGCTTACAGTTCTTGAGGGGAGATATAGTCCATCATAGCCGAGAAATCATGGCAGCAGGAACGTGAAGCAGTCAGGAAGCAGAGAGATCACACCTTATCCACAAACAGGAAGCAGAGAAGGAGAGCAGGAACACACTTCCTCCAGTAAGTCTTCACCTCCTAAGGGTTCCATAACCTTCCCAAACAGCTCCGCTTGACTAGAAACGTGATGTTCAAACACATGCGCCTCTGGGGAGCATTTCATGCTCTTTGTCTGAAAAATCAAAGTCAGAGGATCACACTGAGAATCAGATCTTCCAGGAAGGCTGTTACACAATGTATCTGTCAGCATCTACTGTGTAACAAATAGCCCCAGCATCTCATCGGTAGGCAGCATATTCTCTACTGATGAATCTGTGAGTCATATGGGGGGGCATTCTCCTCCACAAGGCTCCATGCTGAAGGAGCTGATACTCCCATGGCCTTTGCAGAAGCACAGAGGGTCAAGCAAAAGATCACTAGGCCTTAGGCTTGAAGCTAACACACTGCCGCTGGTGTCCCTTCAGGTCAAGAAAGAGGCTACTCTGGCCATGTTGAGGCCACAGCAAGGGTGTAACTGCAGAGGGGAGTGAGGCACTCTGGGTAGTGATTTCTCATGGAGCAGACTCTGAAGGGTGGTGGTGGGATTGGAGTCAGAGAGCTCCCAAGGGCACACCAAGGGACACACGTCAAAGTGGGGAGATGAATGCCAGGGAAGGTCCAGGTGGAGCCTAAATGTCCCTTGAAGTGGCAGAGCAGTCACTCCCACAGGACCCCTCCCACACCCTTCCTCACTTCCAGGCAGGCCAGCACGAAAGAAGAGCGACTGTCACCCTTGCAAGGACATAGCCACTGTCATACCAGAATGCTAGCATATACGACAGACTCACAAGACTTTCTTGGACACAGGAAAAAGCCTGGCTGATATCACCACATGACAGTCCATTCTTAAAGATCCTATCCTGCTCTGCCAACCCCACTGTCCCCAGTTCATCTTGCTGTAGTTTCTTAATCCAAGAGCTTGGAAATACCGGAAGGGAATCTGGAACTGATGAGGGGGAATTACCCAATTAGCAAGGCAGGCAGGATCCTAAGGGGCTGGACAGGGGTCAAGATGATTGTTTGCTTATTTATGATTTGGATTCCTAGGAACTTCCAAACAACTTTGAGATGACTTATAATTAAAAAGATAGGTCCTGCGACAGCAAGATTAAAGATAAAATATCCAAAGTCACACAGATGAAGGGAGGAAATGATTAAACCAGAAACCTAGCAGAAGATACTCACTGCAATTGCGCATTAAATTGAGCTAAAGTGAAGGGGGAAATATGATGAGTTATTGGATAAAAGAAAGTATAGCCATTTGTCAGGGGAGCCAAACTTTTCCCTGACACTCCATGTGAGCACAGATTTATCATAAGAATCACACTAGAAGGGACAGAGAGTCACATAATAGACACTCTCTTCAAAGACTTTTGCAGAAGATGCAGAAACGTTCCTCAGACAGTCGTTTATTATATCGACCCAGGATAAAAGCTAAGGACTTAGGGATGAACCCGTTGAGATTTAATACAGCCTTGGCTAATGGCTTATAGATTGCTTCAGGCATGGTGTTTGGAAGCCCAGGGCTAGAGCCAACAGCGAGAGTCTTGGAGAAGTGTGCTGCTCTCCTAGAAGCCAAGCTGAGAACAAACTCCTTGGCTAGACACAGTGAGTGTGGTTCATGCCATCCTGCGATCAGGATGGGCTAGCGAGGCAGTGTCCCCAGCAAGCAAAGGGTAGGGAAATCCACTAAGAAGAGGCATGAAAACCAGGCTGCCAAGTGCAGTGTAGCCACATCTTCTTATCGACAGAAACAGAACATCCAAGAGAAGGAGGAGGGGATGAGAACTCCATCCACTCCTTCCCTGAAGTTATTTTGAGGCTTCTTTTTCTTTATACTATTTTAGAACTTTTTACATTTTCTTCACGGAACCTGTAATATACCAGTATAAAGCAAAGGGGTAAGGTGCTGGGGAGACAGCTCAGTGGACAAAGGGCTGGCTTGAGCAAGTGTGAGGACCAGAGTTGACAAACTCATGCAAAGCCTGGGTAGGTGTGATGGCCACCTGTAGTCCTAGCACGCAGGGGGCAGAGACACACAGGCATGGGTGCGCGCAGGCGCACAGAGGACTCCATACACATGCAGATGAAATACACACAGTCACTCGTGCCACACATACACGCGCAAAAAAAAGGTGAAAAGGATTTCTTTTCTAAGTCCTGATTTTTGACGTCTTCAGGGTGTGAGGAGGAATTGCAGTTACGACCCGTGTTCTCTTGAGCCTTCTAGGCAGGTGGGAACAAGACTCAGAAACACAGCTCCTGTTCATCTGTGTTTCTGCTTCTCTCAAGATCTCCTAAGCCTAACCCCCACCTTTCCAATTTCAGAAACAAATCCCACGCCATTCATCCCATCGAGGGATAAAGAAGATAATGAATGGTGTGGGTCGCAGGGTGATCTACCAGACCTAAGGGTGACACGGCATTGACATAATTTCCTTGGCAAGAAAATTGGCAATTTTTGTCAAAACTTTAAAAAAAATATGTATCTTCTCCCTGTGTTGGATTGCAGACATGCTTCAGGGTGCCCGGCCATCAGGAGTTTATTTGGAGTAGGCTGACGCTGGTTTCAGGGTAGGAAGCTGCAGGGAATGAGACACCTCTAGGCCACCCATTTCTCAATCTTTCTTCCCTAGGCTTGAAGGGATTCTTGTGAGAGCGCAGAGCCTCAGCAACCATCCTCCACCCCTTTTCCTGTGCCAGCAGACAGGGCAGTGAAGAATTAGTTCTGGGTGATTACGGGGCTTGCTTCAAAACAGTGGCCTGTGGTGACATATCCTCCTGGCCTGAAAAATGACGGTGGCGGGAATGAGAACAATTGGTGGTGCTGACACCATGTTGGCTTCTAAAAGATGACACATTTTTCTCTGGATGAACCAGTTTCTCAGAGACCAGACCCCAAAGCGTGCCCCGTGCCTCGTGTACACACTCCAAGAGATTTATTTGGCTTTCCGTTATTAAGTTCAGACCTTCGAGAATCCGTCTAAGTCCAATTTCTTACTGTGTCGCTCATCTTTGTAGACAGGCTAACACAGACGAACGTCTCTCCCCTCGGCTTCCCTGACTTGTAAGTCCCCAGAAGTAACTGGACCTGTCTTCAAGGAGAAGAATAAATTTAAGCATATTGTTGGACATTGTGCCATGGAATTAAGGGGCGTCTGCTTGAAATAAAGACGGACAAAGGAAAAATGTCATGGGGCAAAGGAAAGACCGGAAGACCACAGAAATCCTGAGTTTCCCAGATAAAACTGGGAAAGGGCTTCATTGTCTGCAGCCCAGAGCTGTGGGTGGGAGTTAAGAGTTGTCTAGTCCTTTGTGGACAGGGAGGGGACAGGTTAGAGTGGCTCCAAGCATTGGGTGTTTGTGTGTGGCACCACCAAGCCTCACACACCCACTGGGAGCACCTGGCATTATTCATCTCTGACACTTCTAGAGACCAGAATTCAGAGGAGTTGAGTAACACACCCAAAGACACACAGCTAGGAAAACAGTGCCTGATTTTCACTGAGCGGCTCTCCTTCAGTGCCAATGTTTATTGTTAACAAATTATGGAAGTGACGGGGCATGGATCCGCCTCAGTACTGACCAAACAGTGCCAACTGTTTGCCAGAGGCACTTAATTTAAAAATGTCAGTGCTTTCTGTTTCCGGCGTGCCTCCACTGTTGGCTTTTGAGATCGCAAGCAAGTGTTACTTCCTAGTATTCCGCCAAAGCAGTGCCAACGTCCCTTAGGCTCTTGTGAGAGATTTTTAAGTTTATTTGATTTTGTCTTGGCATTTTGCAGTGGTCAGCAGGAGGGGTGGGAAGCGGCTCTTGGGTCACTGATAATGGATAGCGGAAGGGGCTTTTTATGAAGACTCCCTCCCTGTGTGAGCCTGCAGGGCTCAGATCATCATTGCTGCATGTGGTGGTTTGATAACCTGTTTTAATAATTTATTTTGCAGTACTTTCACATTCACAGGAATGTTGTGAGAACTTCCATTATCTCCTTACCCTCGTTCCCTGAAGGTCGGTGCTCAGTTTCCTCACCGTCTCTGAATATGAACATCTATCCGTTATCATCATCCCTCTCTGGAACTACTTGAGAGCGAGTTGCAGCCATGATGCCCCCAACCTTAAAGTCTTCAGTGTGCACTTCCCTATATCAAGGACACCGTACCCCTGCCCCCTCCCCCCCCACAGCCACAACTCTTATGGATTGAGCAATGACATTGATAGAATACGACGACTCAGTTCACAGACCTGAATAAAGCTGCTGGTTGTTCCCTCTTTTTCTTTATCCACGACCCTCGCTGAGCATCAGCCACTGATTTCCTGTCCCTTCTACATTTATTTATTAATGTTAACAGAAGCTAGCTCTTCTGATTTACTCGCCTACCCTCCACCTCCTCCTTGTCAACTTATATAGAACACACGATGGGTCACAATCTGTTAATACCACTATTTATCTTGTCACCCAGCTGTCCTGAATTTGGTTATGAGGCCCTTCAGGCTGCCTCATGTATCTTATTAACAGGTCTGTGTCCCCTCTGATGGAAGAATTGTTGAAGAGTTTTCTGGAACAAGAAGGGTTTCCCACTCTCTGTCTTTGCTCTGTAGAAACAGCCATTTCTATAAAGCCTTGGCTCCTTGAGTGGAGGAAGGTGCCTGGGAGCCAACCTCTGTGCTCTTTTGGCTGATGGAGTTAGGAGTCACATGTGTGTACACATATTTATGATTTACTGTGTGCACACACGTGTGTGCATGTGCGTGTGTGTACATGCATGTATGTGTGTGCGAGCAATCACACACACTTATCTATCTTCATCCACTTATTTACTCACAAGTTCATTGCCACATTTTGGATGATACTCCATCACTTCTTGATTTTATCTTTTCCAACTTGTAATCATCCATCTTCATGGCCAATTTGACTGGATTTAGAGTCACCTAGGAGACACACCTCTGGGCACATCTTTCAAGGCATTTCTGGAGAGATTTAACTCAGCAGGGGAGGTACTCCCTGGATGTGAGTAACACTGTTTTATGGATTGGGGTCCTGGACAGAATAAAAAGGTGGAAAAGAGAACAAGCAGAGACTCAACATTGAGTTAATTCTTGGTGTTCCCTTTCTACAGACACGGTGTGATCAGTCATTGTGGGAATCCAGTAGAGTCATTGTATCCAGGGTAAACAGGATGAGATAGTTGCTTTTCAATGTACCCAGGGTAACATCAGAATGTAATCATTGTCTGTTAGAGGTCATTGTAGAGAATAGTGATTGTTTCATGTGCTTTATGCTTTATAGAGTTGTTTTTTCTGAAAGGATTCTCCATCCATTTGATGACTTTAGTCACAAGAAGGTCCTGGCATGCCTGGAGCATCTAGCTTTGCTGGGTCCTTCAAACAGTACACAATAAGGACTAAAGTTGTGGGGTGTGATGGTTTCCTTCATAAAAACCATCAAAGGGCTTTGGTATGAGGAACTTGTTTTATCCAAAAAACAACCTGTATGTACCAATCAATAAATACTCTTCTCCAGGTTAAATACTCTTCTCCATGGCTCTTCTGGGTTCAGGTCCTCGAAACTGTTCCTCCCTGCTGTTACAGAGCCTGACTTACATTGTGAAGTGACCTTCTTTCCTTGATCGCCCTGGACAACACAAAACACTGACAACCAGCTGCCTCATAGTCCTACTACACACTTTTCTGTCATAAGGGATTATATCTTCAAACTGACCAAAGCAAACCTTTTCTTTCTTACATTTTGTTATCCCAATAAGAAAAGTTCCTAGCATACTTCTCTAGTAGTGAAAATAATATGTCTCCAAATCAAATAATATTTTATTTTCTATTACTCTTTATTTATTTTTGCGTTTGAGCGTGTGCATGTGTAGGCACATATATACCATGGAACGTGGAGTGGGGGGGGGGTTAGAGGACAGCTTGTGAGAGTTGCTTCTCTCCTTCCACCACGTGGGTGCCAGGGTTTGAACTCAGACCATCAGGCTCAGCAACAAGCATCTTTACCTGCTGAACCATTTTGTCAGTGTTTCCCCTACCAATATTTTTAATTTATTCCATCTACTTCCAAAACCACTGGTCTAATAAAGTCAGTTGACTCTGAAGGCCTGCCCTTGCCATTCCCAGCTCATCCCATTTCAACTTCCTGGGCTCTGGCCACATGTCACATATTTGGGCTTGTAACTTTCAAGCAATCAGCCACTATGACCAAAGGAAGAGGATGGATAGGAGGGGGATGAGTCATTTGAGGACTTGATTGTCTTTTTCGGGGTCTTTCTGTCTTATTCTCTGCTCTAATGAACACCATTTAGAGCCTCTTTTTTGGAATCCATTCATCCCTTTCCCCTTCACTCCTGAAGGCGCTGGGTGGGGACAGCTGAGGCATTGGTTGGCCAACAACAGTTGTGATCAAGGCTGAATGGAGAATGGTGATTCCAGTGGTGACTGTGGGCGTGAAGTCACCTGGAGACCCTGACTAGTGTAGGAGAAAGCCTGTATGCGCCTCTAGTAAGTCACATGGTTAATGGCGGCATACAGGCTTGTCATTTGGAGCCACAGACTAGTGATAGCCCCTTGTAGCAATAGCCCCTTCAGTATGTTGGTGGGGTGTCAGCAGGGGGTGGTCTGTGGAGAGAATAATGACAAGACAGATCTAGTGTTTGTGGAACCTGAAGCTTGTAAAACTTGGGGATCTTCTTGAAGAAAATAGTATACTATAAGTGCCTTAGGTCTTTCTTGTTATTTCTATAACCAAATGCCACAGACTGGAAACTTTACAAGGAATAAAGATTTACTTAATAGACTTTTATGGAGGGTAGGGCCTGAACAGCTGCATCTTGTAAAGGTCTTACTGATGGGGACTCTGCAAGGTCTCAGGTGATGGAGGCATGTAAGTCAAAAGATCCATTCTGGAGATAACCCACTGACTCTCTGGTCCATGAGTGAGCCAATTACCTCTTCAAGATCTCACCCTATTGTCATCTCTCTCTTTTTTCTTTTTTTGGGGGAGTGGTTTCAAGACAGGGTTTCTATGTGACTTTGGAGGCTATCCTGGAACTAGCTCTTGTACACCAGGCTGGTCTCGAACTCACAGAGATTCTCCTGCCTCTGCCTCCCAAGTGCTGGGATTAAAGGTGTGTGCCACCATCGCCCGGCCTATTGTCATCTCTTAATATTGACAAATGGGCATTGGATTTCAACATGACCTCTTTGGGGGACACCCATGCCACAGCAGTGAGTACACAGATGCACAGCCCTCAGATGCCCCTCACTCTCTCTTTACATATGGAGTTTTGAAATTAACCAAAGTGACTTTCCATTACTGGCACCAAGAGCTAGCACTGAATGTTAAGACATTGACAACGAGCAAACTCTAGTCAGTGTCCCCTCCTTTTGATTCTGAAGGCAAAGTCAGTTCAATATTCTGTCCCTGAAAAACTGGCCCCACCACCAGACCATGGAATTGCTAGATAAAGTCTGGGATTGTGCAGCAGTAAATAAGGAACCAGAAGTTATAGTCTTGGCATTGCCATGCTGGTGTGTGTCTGTGTTGGTCTTGTCTATACAGCAGCCCTCTAAATCAACTGCAGTGTCCTTCAGTACTGCTGTTGACTAGGTGTAGCTGGGGGTGCTTTTGCAGGCTGAGATCTGTGGAGTTCTGACCAGAGGCTGCAAGTTCTCCTACAACATGTGCTTTAAGAAGTGAGTTAACAACCCCTTCCGCAGGAGTCAGTGGGCTCCTGGCTCAAGATTTAGGAGTTGGTGAACTTACCAGAAGGGGGCAGTGTAGCTGCTGGTTGCTCCTACTGGCCTGCACTTCCATAACTTTGGCAACAGGGAAGGGTCGGGCGCAGAGTGGTTCCCCCACCAGCTGCCTTCTTCCTTTACTACCCCCATCCCATCCCCACTCAGCAATGTGAGACTTATGAGTGACTTGGGGTCTTCTGTGAAGGACATTCCAGACTCTCGTCGCATAATGACAGCGTGCTAGAACAGGAGGGGCCTGCGCTACTCCTCAGCCTCCAGCTGTGCGTGCACAAAACAAACACCGACTCTCCTATAGAAAGGCACAACGAGAACACCTCTAAGGCTCTGTGTGAACAGCCTCCTGCAATGACAATGAAGGGAGCCCAGCCAATGAGGCTTCAGGCTCTGAGTGTTAGAAGATTTGCCCAGTGTTACTTAACCAATGGTTTTCTTACTACTTCTGAAGAAATCAGAACAATGAAGGGCCTCATTCAAGGTCATTGTGTTAGTCTAAGGCAGTGGTGCTCAGCCTTCCTGATGCTGCAATCCTTTTATACAGTTGCTCATGTTGTTCCCCAACCATAAAAGTATTTAGTTACTACTTCATAACTGTAATTTTGCTGTTGTTATGAATCATAATTAAATGTCTGATATGCAGGGTATCCGATATGTGACCCCTGTGGGGGTTTCAACCCACAGATTTGGAACCACTGGTCTAAGGGACATAGTTTTAGCTCCAAAGGGGAAATTCACAGCAAGTCTTTTCCTTCTGACTTGGGAAAGAAAGGGGTCGGGGAGACTTAGAGACTTGTAAGATGTGGGAAGCACAAGCTCCTGGTCCATTAGGAGGAAGGGAAGCACCTGCACCATCCCAGGAAGGACTGTGGGTCTGGTGAAGGGCTGACATTCTGGCCTTCTCTGGAGATGGAGCAGCAGGAGGGGGCTCTGCCTGTGGCCTCAGAACTACACTGACCATATAGACAGCTTGTGACCTTGGTTGCCCCAGAGAGGTGGCCCCAGGCCTCACTGAGAGGAGCGAGGTTGCCTGGGCACAAGTGACCCAGTTCCCTGTGACAGTGTGCCTCTTAGGAATCATAACAGTTACCAGAGACTGTGAAATTCAAATTGCTACTTTATAATAAAGTGACACCAGGAAGCTTATACTTTAAGACCTATATAAGCTTTGACTAATTTGGGGGAACAATTTGGTGACCTTAAAAAATAAAATCTTAAGAAGAATTACTTGGAGGTGTTCAGCCACGAAAAGGGTATTTGCTCAGAGACCCACCCAACTCAGTGACATTTAGTGGCAGAGCCAGATCTAAGTGCCTCTCTGGATTTAAGAGCTTGGGCTGAGGAGTTGCTTTGAGGGACCATGAGCAAGCCTTTTACCCTGCTACACCAGGTTTTATGAGGATTATATGAGTCAGCACAGTGCTGGTCTTGCCTGGCTGGCACTGTGTGAAGGTGAACTGTAACTGCCGTTACCTGAGGCTTGTGCTGTGGCTTAGGGGTAACACCCCCCTCCCGAGTCTTTTGAAGCATTGCTGGCTTGCCTCGGGTTTTTGGACATCGGGCCTGACCGACAGTCACTGCACACACTGATGAGTTCAACTGGATGAGCGTCAGCATAGAGACACATCTGTGAAGCATCGTCACGGTCACAATAACTAACGAAAGATCCATCATCCACAGAAGACCCATCCCTCCTGCCTCCTTCTCACCCCCCTGCAAACACTCCTCAGATATTTGTCCCGACACATTAGGCTGCGGATTATAGGAATTTTATAATGGGATGCCATGATATGCACTTGGTTTGGGTCTGGCCTGACTCAGCATAACTAGTTGGGATTTGAACATCGTATCTGCTATTGACATGGCTTTTAGAAAGAACACCTTCCCCAGCCCATGGCAAGCAAACATCTCCCAGTGAATGACAAGGATAGGAGAGTCTCTGTGATCTTGGTGGACTTTCTACTAAGGACGCCTAGTGTCAGGGGTTTTGAACATGCACATTTTTTTTCAAGTGTTCTGACACACCCATGTCCCACAGTGTTCAAGCATACGTGACTCTGAAGCCACAGAGCTTGCCAGGGGTACGTGTAGCTTTTCCTTATTATACATGCCCAGGTCTGAGGTGTGGCCTGGTTGAAAACCACTGTTCTGAAGTCTTGACACTAATTTCTGAAGGCCATTTGAGCAGTGTCACCAAAGCAAAAGGTATCAGACTCAGGCGACACTTGGTGGTGAGAGCAACGTTTTACAGAGGGGTGGGGTTTCAGCCTGAAATACCTGATGACACAAGCTCTCATGTGACTGATATAGATAGACCATCCCTAATGCCAGACTCCTAAATAATCCAGTTCTGAAGCTTTGTGAGGTCCAGTATGACACCACAAGTGGGAAATTCCACACCTGCTGTCATGTGACAGGTTGACATCAACAACACAGGCTCATTAAAAATACTATATAAAATTACTTCCATATTGTGTTCATAATGTCTATCTGAAACACAAACGAATTTTGTGTTTAGATTTTGGCTTCAACCCTCAGGCTGTCTCATCCTGTAGAAGCAAAACAGATTCCAATATCTGTTTTTAAAAAAATCAGAAATCTGAAGAACTCTGGTCCCAAGTTTTTCAGATTAGGGATACTTACACTGAACCTAAAAGCTTAATGGCCATATCCAAAAACCCACCGATTTCCCGGATTTATTTCAGCCTTCTTGACACACGTGACCAGGAGAACATTGTATGCTGTCCATCAGGAAATACACAA